ACAAAAGTTTTTTTCTTCTTTTTTTTTTTGCACTTTAACGTGAAGTTGGTTGTGAAAAAAAATACAATGCAGTCCTCAGTTAATTAAAAAAAATAACTTCCAGAACAACCAAACAGTTGTTCTTTATACTTGATAAGAAACACATGGAAGTACAACTCGTCGTAACGAAAATTCTTCGTAGTGACAATGAGTCGTGAGCACAATTTTTTGCGGTTTCGATAAAATATGCTAATCTAGTAGTTATAGCAACAAAAAGGGTGTTTCTTCGGAAAAATTAACACAATTTTTTTTTTTTTGGCAGAAAACTTTGTTATATCATTATAAATTATACTTAAAAATTCCCTCTTCTGTTTCGCTTCTCCTTTTATCGAGAGAAATACGAGTGATTAGAGAGGAAATTGAATTTCTTCGGCAAATTAAGCATTCATTGTGTATTTTTTTTCCTCTCCTTTACACTGAATTGAATGAAACGAATTAAGAGTTGATGGAACTAATAGTTAAATTAAAATGGGTTTCATATACAAAAAGTACAAATTTGTACCCATTTATGCATTTAATATAACTATTTAAGCAAGTGAGGCATGGTTTCCCATGTTGTTTTTTTATATTGAATCGAATGAGACTATACAAGAGTCAACAGAGTGAATAGTGTTTAAGTTAAAGGCTCTTTATTTATAAGAAAGTTCTTCCATGGATCTTCAGATTTCTAAGACTTCATTTTAATAGCTCGACCACAAATATGTTAATTAGCGATAAAGTTACGAAATAAGACACAAAAACCTACTTTCTCTGAATAAACATAACTTTTTTTCAAACGAATTGAATTTCTGAGCCAAAAAATGTTAGGGAAATATGATCCTCATAGTTAGGTGAGGAGAGCGGTCCAAAGCTCCCTAAAACTAATTTTATTTTTTGCGTATTTCGGCATCTCTCTCCAACTTTTTAAGTAAATTTTAAAAAAAATTGCACAGAATTATAAAATTTCTTTATCCAAAGATAATTCCATGCAAAAAAAATTTTTTAAATATTTATTATATTTTATTATTTTATTTAATAATAGTTGAAAAATTTTGAATTGCGATGTATACAGTTTTCTGCGTAATTTTGATGTATCTAATTTTACAATAACAATTAATTCGTAAAAGCGGATGCCAAGTAATTTTTAACTCGTTATAAATATACAATTTTTATTTCGCTCATGGGCTGCAATAGCAGCACAACTCAAAAAATCATGTTTTGAGATAAGTGGGTTTAAAGTTTTCATTGCTAAGGAAAATGCATAAGAAATGCTTTAGTTTGCTTAAACGAAGATTACCTTCAAGTTGAATTATGAATTGTGCTAGTATCGCTGCTGAAAAGAATGTGTATTTTCATATTTACACCTGTTCTTAGTCCAAAACGCGTATTTTTTGAGTTGTAACTATTGCAGCCTATGAGCGATTTCCTAAATGCTGTGATTTTAAAGGTGATAAGGAAATTTGTCGTAATAGTGGACTTATCATAATATGCCTTACTCGTTATACTTATAGCTTTTACTGTATGTTTTCTTGTGATTTCAAAATTTATCTATCACCTGCAGCGTTTAATTAGCTCAATTTAAAATTTGCCTCATGAATCAAAAATAACACCATAGTGCATAAAAATCCGCTGAAGATAAAAAAAAATAAAAAATTTTAGAATATTCTGTTTTTCATTTTATTTAAAATATTGCATGTTTGAAACTTATAGCGTTTTAACATCCTAAAAAGTCCAAGTTTCCACGATGAAACTCTCGTAGTGTCAGATGTAAAAGTGTTTAAATTTTCTTAGGTAGTAACTAAATTTAGTAACTTTTTTTTTAAATTCAAAAAATTCCGCTACGAAAGCTAAAATTAAATAAATTAGAAATAAGAAAAAAATAAACACTAAAAATATGTAATAATAAAATTAATATAATTAAATATATTTTAATTATACTTAATATATCTAAATGATATAACTTAAATTATATAATTTAAATTAAATTAATATAATTATAATTATTAAATTAATTACTTATTAGCTTTTATAGACAATACAAGAGCTTTGTCTTTATAAATAGACGTATTTCATTGAAACTGCAATAACTTATGCCTGCGACGAATCGTGCCCAAGACGAATTGAGCTCGCGACGAATTGTGCCCACGATGAATTGCCGCCACGACGAATTGTACCCACGGCGAATTCCTTGTGCCACGAATTTCCACCATGATGAACTGTCACCCGACGAATTGCGTGTGATGAATTGTCCCACGACGAATTGTGCGCGACGAATTAACGCGGCACTCTATTCAAGAGCCCCTATCACTAGCTTTAATTTTTACATTGTTATTTTTAATAATTTTAAATGCGCCTTTACTTCCCTCGGTTCATTGCAATAACCGAGTACATAGCTGTAACAAGTGGCTTAAAATTAATGAGATTCATTGAGCAATTAATGATATATTCTCAAGTTTGCCACGAGCTAATCATTTTGGGAGGAAGGGAATTTTTAATAAACCGTTTAGTTTTTTATGTCCTCAAATTATTATTATCTTTTTTATTTTCTATTTTAAACTTTGTTGAATAAAAGCTCATAGGCAGTAGGGAAAAAGCAGATTTTGATATCATCAAGTGCAGTTTATGTACTGACTAAAAACGAACTTAGTAATTTTCGGATTTTTCACTTACACTGTTTTCTTTACTTTTTTTCTGTAGATTAAATCATAAAAATGTTGTATTTTCCTTGGCAATTAAAAAAAAATGTCAAAATTTTCCGATTATCTATAGGTAAGTGTGCTCATAACAATAAGCCCAAAAACTGCAAGGCTTATTAGAAAATGTTAAAAAGAAAACGTCTTCGAAAAAGAAAAAAAAAACACATTTTTCTTTTAACTTCATATAAATATACACTTTAAAAATATAAACCAGCTAACTATAGATCTGCTGGAAGCTTTAAAAAAAGTTAGTAGTCTTTAAATTCTAAAAATTAGATAAACAACATTAAACATTTTAATAATTATCTATATCATCATCAACCTACGCAAAATGTATGCTACCATCATCAACCTATGCAAAATGTATGCTACCATCATCAACCTATGCAAAATGTATGCTACCACCATCAACCTATGCAAAATGACACACTACACTGAAAACGAAATTAAATTTAAAAGTAAAATTACAAGTGCAGTTTTTTTTCTTCAGAATCCTTTCTTATTTTAATATATTTTTAAAACAATTCTTTTCGTATATTAATATAATGTTATAACATGGATTTTATGAAGTTGTTAGACTTTATGATTTACAAAATGGAAAGAAAAAAAATTGCAAATGTCAACTTTAAAAAAAACTTTTATATATATATAAATATATATAAAAATATCCATATGCAAAATGATTTTGTTAGGGTCCTTTTTTTAAGTTTTTGTGGGTTTCAACCAGTTTTTGACCTTAAAAACCAAACACTAAGAAAGAACTGATTTTAATACTTTAATGATATGTAAAAAATTAAGTTTGTCCTGGGTCAAACATCCTCTGCTAGCTTGTCAAATATTTCCATGCAGCAATTTTACATAAAAAAGAAATTAAAAAATACTACATATTACTATTTCTAATTTAGTAAATGTTTCCAAATTAAAGAACTGCATATAATTAAGCATTTCTGCCAATTTGCACGTGAATGTGAGAAGAGATAATAAAAAGGCAACTTTCTCTTTGTTTTGATATTGATGGTTTACGGTTGGTTATTTTATGATATGAATTTATAATCTTTTAATAATTAAGGTGGAAACTCAGTGGGGATGTTAAATCAATCATAGCATTGCTTAAAAAATTTAAATGAATAATTTTGTTTTTCATCCTTTAAAATGAATTATTGAAAAGCCATCATATATTCAATGTTTCAAATTTATTAAATCTTAATTAGATCATCTTAAGAAATATACTTTATACAGTTAAGTAAATAATTAATTCACAGCAGGAAGGACAACAAAAAAAAAACCTTTTATAGAATATGACCTATAAAGACATGGCAATTTATTTAAACAAGAAAAAAAAATATTATTTTTAGAATTTTAAGAAAAACGTCAAATGTTTAAAATCGTAATTTAAATTATTAGATTAAAATTTAAATGGAAAAAAAATAACATGGAAATAAAAAAAATAAGCTTCGTATAATTAATTATCACATTTTTTTTATTTTATTATTAAATTTTTTTTAAATATTTTAGAAACTTTCCGCACCTCTTTAATTCCAAAATAAATAATAAAACAACTTTCCACTAAAAAAAATTCCAAAAGATAACATGAAAATAAAGCTTGTAAGCTATAAAAAGTACAAATATAAAATAGTGAAAAAATGTGATATCGAGATACGCTATTTGAAGTCGTATTAATTACACAACTCCCACAAACATGTTTACATATGGGCGGAACAAAAGAATATTAAATACCAAATTAAAGAATAATTTATTGAAATAATTCAAATTTTACTAGTAATTAGTAAAGCAAATAAAAAAAACTAAACCAACAACACATATTCTAAAGCAAATAAAAAAACTAAACAAGCTAACAGATATTCTAACAATATTAACTAATTTAAAGTAATTGTATATTTCTTAAAAATATAATGGTTCCATAAACTTAAAATAATAAGGTACGGATAATTTAGAAAATATTAATAAGTTAAAAAATGATCGTATACAAAACGGCAAAAATTTAAACATTATGCAGAACTCACAGATATAAAATAAAAATCTGAAAATTCACGTGCTCCAAGTTTTATCAAAAACACAACAAGCCTAACAGGTAGTGTGGTTAAAAGTTAGGAAATCATTCCAATGCGCATGGAATTAAGCATGTAGTTTAATTGTTACTTAATAACAACGTCACTTGTTAAATTTCACTGAAAACACGATGATCTATTAAAATGTGAAAACTAAAACACAATTGATGTTATCAAATAATAAAAAGTAAGAGCATGAAAATAAAAAAATTCTTACGATATTCTTTTCTTTTTTTCTCACAGTTTCATGACGCAACCGATATTCTCATTCAATTTCTTGTCTACATTAAACAAATCACAAACAGATACACTGTACTATACTCTTACGATCAAGTGACAACAAACTATTTTTCACAATAATAATATTAACAACAGACAAGATCAAAATCCCCGAACGCTATTGAATAAAAAACATCAGTTTACCTGTTGTACACCTCTAGACCTACATAAAGTAAACTTACCTTACAGAATTTCATTGATGGCGCCATCTATAGTATTGAGAGTGATTTAATGCTTTATTCAATTGTCGAAAACTTTTTAACCAAGTCATAATATCAAGAACTAAATAAGGAAAAAAAAAAAATTTTGATAAATAAACTAATACTGTTTATTAAAATAACTTTTTGTGTTAATAAAAAAGTTATTGCAGATTGCAAACATGTAAAAGAAAAAGATCAGAAGCTAAATGTTGAATATTATTTTCTTATAAGACAAACTGTTTGGTAGATTTCAGAAATTTTATCTTTGTCTTGTAACACTTACATAATAATCAAAATTCATATCAGTAAATTTGTGGGAGCTTTAAATAAAAACCGGCGTTTTTTTTTTTTTTTTTTTTNTACATATATTTATAGCCTAGGCAGTGGTGTAACAAGCACATTGTCAAAGCTATTTTTCATTACTTACAAGACAATGTATTGTTCTGAATACAATTATCTGGAGAAATCACTTTCTCTTCTTCTACTTTTTTTTTCCAATTATACTTTCATTCTTGCATATAGCACCTTCCTTTCAGGGTTTTTTTTTTTTTTTTTTTTTTTTTTTTTGTATTTATATTGTTCATTCTGAATATGTAATTTTTAAAAACAGAATTTAGATTTGTTCGAATTTTTTTTTCTTTTTTTTTTAATTTTAAGATAAGGGAATTAAAAAAATGTCATTTTCATACACCGTGTTTTAATTTGTTCAGCCGTATATGAATAATTTAATAATAACTCGTTAGAAGAAATCTTTTCTTATTTGTTATTTGTTGCTTTGTAACGCATACGCTCTGAAACTCTTGCTAACTACAATATTTTGTCTGCTTGTCAGTTGGATTAGCGATTTCGTATAGCGTGTATAACTTAGAATTCAATCGTCAAATTCTTCAAGGTTTTATTTTATTTTCATGACTTTAGCTTTTATGCCAGCTTCAGGGTCTTTTCCCAGCTATTTTGGAAGTTCCAGTATGTGCTAGGTCAGTTTTTATTTTATAGTTTTTAATAAATAGTTTAATTTGGCAATTTAGTTCTATTTCATTTTTCGATGGTTCATGTTAGTTTTCCCCCACATTCTGGTCCGTCGAGCCGGTGCCTCCAACAGAATGTATACTAACATGAATTAAACTTATATGTGCCATCGAATAATGAAATAAAACTAAATTGCCAACATAAACAGCAAAGTTCGATTCCTTAAAGTGGTGAAGTATTCATTACATTTCGAAAATGGTTTGTAGCCACTACATTTAACTACTAAAATAATGCAGTTTTTGCTGTATATATATATATATATATACACTCGACCTCTATTTAACGAAGTTAAGAAAAACAATAAGCTTCATTTATTGCGAATAAGCTGCAAGTAAGCAGAACTCATTAGATAGTTCAAAATGAAGATAAAACAAAGGAAAATTATAGACATATNGTTTGTTAATGCTCAGTGTGCATAAGAAAAGAATCAAAGATGACTCAGAATTCATTGAAAAAGTTAAAAACAGATTTGGACAGCAAACAAGACGATTACAATTCTTGTTTGATTAAACAATTTTTTAATTGTTATGTGTCAATAATTACTTAATTATTTGTTTTTCCATAAAAACATGTTTAATAAAAAAAATTTATAACACATTTTTTTTGTATCTCTTTAATTGTTTTAAAAAAAAAGCCAGGGGGGTGCAAGTGCACCCCTTGCACCCCGCTGCCGGCGCCCTTGTATATGCCATCGAATAATGAAATAAAACTAAATTGCCAACATAAAATATTTATTAAAAACTCTAAAATAAAAACAGACCTAGCACGTACTGGAACTTCCAAAATAGCTGGTAAAAGGAACTTTGCGCCCTGAAGCTCGTATAAAAGCTAAAGTCATAAAAATAAAATAAGACCTTGAAGAATTCGATTATTGAATTCTAAGGTAAACACGCTATACGAAATCGCTAATTCAACTGACAAGCAGACAAAATATTCTAGTTAGCAAGCGTTTCAGAGAGCATGCCTTACAAATCAACAAATAAGAAAAGATTTCTTCTAACAAGTTAATGTTAAAATCCTCATCTACCGCTGAACATACCGCCGCCCTAGAAGTAACTAACTTCAACAATTAATAAATTTAATTATGTAATTATGCAAGAAAATGGAACGAAATCACAATTTTCGAAACTTGTTCGAAACGTTTAAAATACTAAGGAACACTTCAGAACACTGTTCCAAGAAATATTAAATTTAGCAATCTTGAGAATATCTTATAAAAAAAAATTAAACAAGTATAACTTTAGAATCTCAAAATCAAATATCTTCGAGTATAAACTTTGAAAATCAGAAGACACACAAAACTCAATTCTAAATAACTTAGAAATTTTAGAAATAATTGTGATAACTAAATTTTAGAGTCAAGAGGCAATAAATATAACTTTACAATTGGTCTTTTAATTGTACCATTAACAGTTTTTCAAGATACAACTCGTATCTTATCGTCATATCGTACCTGGAAATGTCACAATAACTCTTCCTAAGCTCCATTTTAGAGTGGTAAATTGTCATTTTTTATAATCGCTAAATCACCTACCTTTATGTTTTGTTACCTGGTATCAAGGGTGCCGGCAGGGGGGTGCAAGGGGATGCACTTACACCCCCTGGCTTTCTTTAAACAATTAAAGAGATACAGAAAAACAATTTTGTTATAAAATTTTTTTATTGAAAACATTTTTATTCAAAAACAAATAATTAAGTAATTATTGATACATAACAGTTAAAAATGTGCTTAATCAAAGAAGAATTGTAATAATCTTGTTTGCTGTCCAAATCTGTTTATAACTTTCTCAATGAATTCTGAGTCATCTTTGATTCTTCTCTTAGGCACACTGAGCATGCACAAACTACTTAATCTCTCGTGAGACATTGTAGACCGATTCCATGTTTTGATGCGTCACATTGTACTAAAAGTTTGTTCAATAGTGCACGTAGTAGCTGGAAGAGTTAGGCCAATTTTGATTGCCTCCGCTACAGCTGGATAATACGGTGTGGCATCAATAACTAAATCGATGTATTCGAGGGATTCATAAGAATTTTCTCTGAGAGCAGATCTTTATACATAGTATATCTTCTAAAACTTCAAGATATGACACTTTGTCCAGTTTGTTCATCGCATTCCAGTGAAGCTGTAAGAGTGAAAATGCTTTTCTTTGTGTAGAAGAAAAACGGTCTTTCAACGAAGATACACTATCTACCAATAAGTATTTGGGCATCTATGCAAATGACTATATATCCGGTCCTGAAATGGATTGTTTCTCCTGGTATGGTTGGGGACCCTTGGTCCCCATTCATGGTAAGCTCAACGCCGATGCCTACTGCACTATTTTGGATGACAATGTGCTTTCTACGTTGTGGCAGTTTTGCGGGGTGGACCCCTGTTACTTCCAAGACGCAATGCCAGCTGTCATGATGCGAGGGTCACCAAGGCTTGGTATGGCGCCAGTGGGGTTAATCGAATGAACTGGCCCGCCCAGAGCCCAGACCTGAACCCTATCGAGAACCTCTAGGACGAAATGGATGGCCGAATTAAGGGGTGTACTTCCCGTTCAAAATAGATGAAGGAACTTACATGTCTTCTTCAAGCCGAGTGGAAGAAAATACCACTAGCCGTCACACAAGGACTTGTGGAAAGTATGCCCCGGGGGGTTCACGCTGTAATTCCTCTGCCAACTATTGATTATGAATAAAGTTTGTTTTTCTTTTCAATCACACGCGTCCAAATACTTATTGGTAGATAGTGCATAAGGGAGTCCGAATAAAGATTGACGTCCTGAAAAATTCTTCTGCATTTTCAGAAGGCACATTCGATCTATGAACTTGTCTAGATGCCACTAGCGGTCGATTCATTTCAATGCCTAATTCTTCGCAATTGTGTTCTGCTTTCGTGAAAATAGCACAATACTAATGTTAAGTGTACACAAACACGTTAGTATACGAAATTACTGTTTGTAGTTATTTGTGTTTCAAAATCAGTAGCTATGCCAGCGCCATCAATACAGTTTCTCGTGGTAAAATTTGCAAGTACAAGAAATTCTTACTTTTTTTAATTCTTATTTTTCTTTCTTTTCTTAATTCTTATTTACTTTTTTTAATTCTTTTTTTTTTTCTTACTTGTTAACAATGAAGAAATCTATCTTGAGAAAAATTAACAGATGAAAGTATATATAATAACAAAACAAAGTAAAATAACAGAATATTTGTAATTTTTTTTGGAGGGGGGGGGGTAGTTTGTTAGAGGGTTGCACCCCCTTTTGTATTATTCTGCCGGCGCCCTTGCCTGGCATACCATTTTGGACGATTTTGCTGCCCGGATAGATATTCGGATTTACACCGATTTCAAGTGATTCCAACGATTTAGCTCCTTTGACAACTGGGCATTGTCTAACAGGACAATCCTTAACATTAGTGCCAGAGAGGAATTATACATCTCTTCCTGACAACAGGCTATCTAGATGGAATTTATTACAAAAACTGATACAAACATTTTGACATCGGTGGAAATCCGAATATCTATCTATCCCTGCTGCAAAATAGTTTAAAATGGTATGCCAGTCGACAAAACATAAAGGTAGCTGATTTAGTGATTATAAAAAATGACAATTTACCACCACTAAAATGGAGCTTAGGAAGAGTTATTGAGACATTTCCAGGTAATGACGATAAGATACTGTTGCATCTTTAAAAACTGTTAATGGTACAATTAAAAAACCGATTGTAAAGTTATGTTTATTGCCTCTTGACTCTAAAATTTATTTATCTCAATTATTTATAAAATTTTGAGTCAATGGGTAATAATTAAGTTAAGTCATTTAGAATAATTTAGAATTGAGATTTGAGTTTCGTGTGTTTTGTGATGTTCAAAGTTTATAATCTAGGATATTTGATTTAGTGATTCTAAATTTATACTTGTTTAATTTTTCTATTAGATATTCTTAAGATTGCT